TTGGTGTAGTGGTGTGTGTGGTGTGGTGGTGGTGTACTGTAGGTGTGGTGTAGTGGTTGTGGGATGTTGTTGGTAGTGGTGTGTGTGTGGTGTTGATGTAGTGGTGTGTGTGGTGTTGGTGTAGTGGTGTGTGTTGTGTTGATTATTGGTGTGTGGTGTTGATGTAGTGGGGTGTAGTGTTGATGTAGTTGTGTGTGCGTGGTGTTGATGTAGTGGTGTGTGTGGTGTTGATGTAGTGCTGTGTGTGGGGTGTTGGTGTAGTGGGTGTGTGGTGTTGATGTAGTGGTGTGTGTGGTGTTGTTGTGTAGGGGTGTGTGTGTGGTGTTGATGTAGTGTGTGTGTGGTGTTGATGTAGTGGTGTGTGTGGTGTTGATGTAGTGGTGTGTGTGGTGTGATGTCGTGGGTGTGTGGTGTTGATGTAGTCGTGTGTGTGTGTGTGTGGTGTTGATGTAGTGGTGTGTGTGTGGTGTTGATGTAGTGGTGTGTGTGTGGTGTTGGTGTAGTGGTGTGTGTGGTGTTGATGTAGTGGTGTGTGTGGTGTTGATGTAGTGGAGTGTGTGGGGTGTTGGTGTAGTGGTGTGTGTTGTGTTGATGTAGTGGTGTGTGTGTGGTGTTGATGTAGTGGTTTGTGGCGTGTGGATGTAGTGGCGTGTGTGTGGTGTTGATGTAGTGGTGTGTGTGGTGTTGGTGTAGTGGTGTGTGTGGTGTTGGTGTAGTGGTGTGTGTGGTGTTGGTGTAGTGGTGTGTGTGGTGTTGGTGTAGTGGTGTGTGTGGGATGTTGGTGTAGTGGTGTGTGTGTGGTGTTGATGTAGTGGTGTGTGTGGTGTTGATGTCGTGGGTGTGTGTGGTGTTGATGTAGTCGTGTGTGTGGTGTGTGTGGTGTTGATGTAGTGGTGTGTGTGTGGTGTTGATGTAGTGGTGTGTGTGTGGTGTTGGTGTAGTGGTGTGTGTGGTGTTGATGTAGTGGTGTGTGTGGGGTGTTGGTGTAGTGGTGTGTGTTGTGTTGATGTAGTGGTGTGTGTGTGGGGTTGATGTAGTGGTTTGTGGCGTGTTGATGTAGTGGCGTGTGTGTGGTGTTGATGTAGTGGTGTGTGTGGTGTTGGTGTAGTGGTATGTGTGGTGTTGGTGTAGTGGTGTGTGTGGTGTTGGTGTAGTGGTGTGTGTGTGTTGGTGTAGTGGTGTGTGTGGGATGTTGGTGTAGTGGTGTGTGTGTGGTGTTGATGTAGTGGTGTGTGTGGGGTGTTGGTGTAGTGGTGTGTGTCGTGTTGATGTAGTGGTATGTGTGTGGTGTTGATGTAGTGGTTTGTGTCGTGTTGATGTAGTGGTGTGTGTGGTGTTGATGTAGTGGTGTGTGTGGTGTTGGTAGTGGTGTGTGTGGGGTGTTGGTGTAGTGGTGTGTGTGGGGTGTTGGTGTAGTGGTGTGTGTTGGGGTGTTGGTGTAGTGGTGTGTGTGTGGTGTTGATGTAGTGGTGTGTGTGGTGTTGTTGTAGTGGTGTGTGTGGTGTTGATGTAGTGGTGTGTATGTGGTGTTGAAGTAGTGGTGTGTGTGTGGTGTTGATGTAGTGGTGTGTGTGGTGTTGATGTAGTGGTGTGTGTGTGTTGATGTAGTGGTG